GATGCTACCCACTTTCTAACCCTTCTTAAGACTCATATCTAGGTTAGACTAAGCTTAGAATGCTCATATAGACCCACATTTTCGTTAAATGATAGCAAAACGAAGGTTGACACTCGGCTGAGTTGAATAGTTGGACTTTACAAGACAAGGATTTTCGGGTTGTTACAGTTACACCATGTGTACCCTTACCTCTACGCCATGCGTAGAGGCTTTACAGAAAACACGAAGATAATCCACTACGCGTTGCGTACTTAGATTTAGCAGGGCGTACTCGATTCACTACTAGAAAATGATCGACAAATCATAAAGACTTAACATCCAACTTTTAGTTCTAAACTAAATGAATGTCCAAAATCGTAAAGTTCTTGAGTTTATTCCTTTGAATGGCTTAATGAACCCTAAAACCAAACTATGGCTTCTTAACATCCTTTAAATTACCCATATACATGCATGGACGAAAGGTTGCAACCAATATCCCATCTTTATGACATAATAATCTTGGAAACACTAAGAAATGACCATCTAAAGCTCTGGAGTAGCTTTTACTCACAAGAACCAAATCATGGGGCCAAAAGTTTAAAATAAAAAAATAAAAATAAAAATATAAAAAAAAAAAAAAAAAAAAAAAAAAAAAAAAAAAAACTCTAACCTAGATCTAACACATAGAAACATAAATGTGAGAGCTTTATACCTCTAAAGGTTGGCAAATGAAATGAAAAAATTGGATCTACAAGCTCCAAGACCACAAATCACCAATGTTGAGCTTTTTCTTCTCCTACAATGCACCAAGAACACTCTAAAGATCCTAAACAAGCTCTCAAAGATTATGGTTTCAAAATAACATAATGAAGGAGTGGAGGTTGGAGGTGAGGGAGGCCTCAAATACTTAAGGCCCATTAAATAAGGCCCAAACCCTAAAAATTAGGGTTTAGGATTTGTGTGAGTACGTCATGTGTACATTTCGTGTATGCCCAATCTACTCAAAAGAGCCCCACCACCTTTTAATGAATTACGCTCAACGTACTCACGAAGTACGCCACGCATAAGGACTGAAATTGCAAACATTTTATATTTTAAGCCATAATGAAAATACATGGGAACACGGGTGTTACAACTCTCCCACACTTGAATCAAAATTTGTTCTCGAAGTTCGTTGTTGAAAACAACTCTGGGTAATGCTCTATCATTTCATCCCCAGACTCCCACATCCACTCAGATCCTTTTTTATGCTGCCATTACACAAGGTTCACCAGTTTGTTGTGCAGAGTCTTTGCATTCCTGCCGAGAATTACAATTGGTCTCTCTACATAGTTTAGGCGATCATCAACCTGAATTTTATCCAAAGGAATCACCTCAGAATCATCGGCCAAACACTTATGCAACTGAGAGACATGGAAAATGGTGTGGATTTGACTGAGCTCATCAGGCAACTCCAACTTATATGCAACCTTGCCCCCGGAGGCAATAATCCTGAAGGGACCGATAAACCGACGGTCTAGCTTGCCCCGCTTCTGAAACCGAATGACACGCTTCCAAGGTGACACCTTCAGCAACACTAAATCCCCCACTTGGAACTAAATATCCGATTATCGATGGTATGCATAACTCTTCTATCAACTTTGCGCGATTCGAAACCTATCACGCACCTGTTATATCAACTCAATAGACTTGAGCACTACTTCAGTACTCCCCATGACTTGATGCCCAACTTTCCCCAACAAACCGAGGGCCTACATTTCCTTCCGTACAACATTTAGAAAGGTGGTCAATCAATACTAGCATGATAGTTGTTGTACGAGAACTCGGCCAATAGAAGATAAGTATCCCAACTCCCGCTAAAATCAAGCACACACGCCCTGAGCATATCATCGTCCGCTCACTCCATCCATTGGTCGGAGGTGATATGGTCTACTAAAATGGACCTGAATGCCCAATTCCTCATAAAACGTCCTCTAAAACTTGGAGATGAAACAAACATCTCGATTTGAAACCACCCAAACTGGCACTCCGTGTCGAACCACCACATCCCTAATGTAAAAGTCAGCAAGTCTCTCAGCAGATATACTCGCAGTGATCGGTATAAAATGAACACTCTTAGTCATTCTATCGACAATGACCCAGATAGAATCCACTCCATGTGTCGTCCTCGACAACTTCGTGATAAAATTCATGTTGACCTCTTCCCATTTTCACATGGGAATAGGCAAAAGTTGCATCTTACCGTAAGGTCTCTGATGTTTGGCATTGACTTTCTGACAAGTCAAACACCACTCCACAAAGCATGTTATCTCCCTCTTTATACAGAACCACCAATAGCTCAACTTAAGACCCCTATATATTTTCATGTCCTCAGGGTGGATTGAGAACTTCGACTTATGAGCCTCTTTTAGCACTATCTACCTAACCCCACCAATAATCGGGACCAAAAGCCTACCACATTGGATCAACAAGCCCCGACTATATCTGATGAACAATGGAATCTTCCCCCTGATTCACTCTGCTTCCAATTCTCCTTTTCTAATCCTTCCACCTAAACCTTCCACCTAAACCTTCTTGATCATATATAAAAGGGGAGAAACAATAACCATAAGCATAAGCAATCACATGTCCTCTCTGCGTGAGGACAACTCCTAAACCCAAGATCAACGCATCATAATAATCTACAAAACAACATATAAGTTGGCCGGGTACAATGACCCTTTAGTTTATCCATTTATTATAATCTAAAGACAAAAGGCTTCCAATGCCTCTCAAGTTGCTATCTTCCTCAGACAATTCCCACAAAGGATTCTTCTTATTAATACCAAACTTCCAACAATAAAAACATTCAATTTGGTTTATCATTTTACCCATCATGCCATGTTACATTAACAATATGACAATACAAAAAAAAAAAAATCTTCTATCCACTTCTGTTTTTGCTTGGTTCCTAACACAGGATCCTCTCCTACTTCGGGTTCAACTTCAAGGAAGCACTACAAAAACAACAAACATTTATTCCAAAACTGACAACAATTCTCTCTGAAAAAACACCACAAATAAGTCGACAACATTAAGATAATACCTATTGATGCAGTAACGTTTTCCGGTAGGCGGAGGACCATCGTCGAAGACATGACCAAGATGAGCATCACAAGCTGCACATAAAACTTCCTGTCGAGGCATGAAAATGATCGACAAATCCAACTTCGACTTCACGTTGCTTCCAATTGGTTCATAATACGAAGGCCAACCAGTTCCACTATCGAACTTCGTCGATGACCTTCAATCAAACCCACAAATTCCTTTCAATTTTCAAATTCAAACAAAACAAGAATGAAGAATCTTTATTCGTTTATGGTTTGCTACTTTGCTATTTGTTCTCAACTTACTCAAATAATGGAGTGTCACAGCAGATGCAATGGTAAATCCCAGCGGTTTTCGTGTTCCAGTATTCCCTGAAACATAAAGTCGTCAAAACTTCGAAAATTGTTGTCTCCGTGAATCGTTAATGGAAGAAATTGAGTTATGAATACCCAGAGAAGGCTCTTTCTGTTCCCTTTTGTCGAGTTACGTAAAACTGTTCTCCAGTAAGCTTCTTCTTCCATTCTTGATCGCTAACAGATTTGAAATCCATGTTTCCTGTCTCTGCAATTGATCAAAAAGTGAATCTGTTTATGAAAATTGAAGAATCGGGTGGCTTAATTCTATAATATAAAAACCTAAGAGACCTTGAGGTGAGGTGTCTGGTTTCTGAGATGATGAAGATGAAGAACCCATAGAGCGAATCGATGAAGAAAATCTGGTTGTGGGTTTGCTTAATTGAAACTGATTAGATGATTTGAGATGTGAATTGAATTGGGGTTTTGATGAAATGAGAAGTTGGAGTCTGAAATTGCTGGGAGTCAAGAAATGGGAAGCCATTAAAGTCAAACTCTTAACAAAGAAGAATACACAATCTTTTTTTCTGGGCCTTTGATGAAATGTGAATATTAGTTTGATGATGTGGAGATGAAATTGACAAATGGCATAATTCTCACCATGTATTTTGTGGATCGGCCCATTTTAAGTTCTTCATGACAATATGGGTAATATTAAAGTTTAATGTAAAGTAATACTCGTAAAAATCTTGATACGATCATATTTCATTTGCAATTACATAATATTAGTCTTTAAAAATATTTAGACAAAATCTTTAACCATTTGTCAAGTAATAGCAAAAAAACTAAGGAAACAACCCAAATAATCATTAAAATCATAGGACCTTTAAAGTCCAATTTCAACTTAATAGCGATTTTGCATCTTTTGAAACTTCATATATTGCTCACTAGGTGTGAGACCCATGTATTATATGGGTTTAATTAAAAAAAATAAATATAAAATTTTAATAATTTGAATAGTTTGAATTTATAAGAAAAAAAAGAAAATTTTTGAATTATTAAAATTAATAAGACTTTAATATATTGAATACATTACATATATAAATAATTTCTAATAAATACTTTACATATATATTACCTTACATATTAAATGTGGAATTTTTTAATTTAATAAAATGAAAAATACAATAAAATGACAAGTGGAAAATAGAATATTTAAAAATTCTAGAAAATGCCATGTGTCCAAATGAATGATAAGAGGACATGTGGCAAAAAAACCTTCATTTATTATAGTAGATATGATATAAGTTATATTCTTTAAAAATATTACAAAGATTAAAGGTCAACAAATAATGATTACAAATTATTATATATATAAAAAAAATATTATATACAAATCAACTCCATTGTACAAACTTTAATCTTTGGAATTTTCCACCTTAAATCCTATTTTAGTTTTTTTTTTTTTTTGCCTTCTTGATCTAGCATAGTATTTATCTAATATTTTCATTTATTTTGTTGCATCATTAGTAAAATAATCTTTGGGTGTTACATTACGAAATATGTAGAAACTAGAAAGTGTCAATAAAAATAGAATCTAAATTACTCTAAAAATTACATAAAATTAAAAGTTCAAACTTCTAGACCTATTATTGGCTATCAAAAACACTAAGAAGCTAAACACAAATCTTTCCATACAAAGACTCAAAAAAAAAAAAAAAAGCACTATCAATCTTCATTTCTTGCAACAATCTTGTATTTCCCTGATCCTTGTTGCTGCAATCAAATCAATATCCAATAACATGTCACAACATATCATTACAAATAATCAAATCTACTAAAGAAATTGTCGGTTTATTACCTTGATCCACAAATCACTATGGCTTTTACAGAATCCAGCAACAATGGCGCCTTTGTTTCTCCCTTCCTTATACTCAATACACAGATCTTCTTTCAATCCACAAGTCACGTGAAAACTCAAACCACAGTTTTCCTCAGAGCAATCGATGGCACACCCATGTCTTTTCCTGCAAATATAACACTTCTTTCCCCATCTTCTTAATGGAACTTTTGAACAATCAATCCCTTCTCGACCTTCTGGGTCATGAAAAAACACTTCGGGAATGAACAATGCACACACAATATGAGCCCAGAGGCCATTATTGGTTGGCTTCAAAGCTCCGCCATTGAAGGGACAAAGGCAACAAGATGAATCCTTGTTTTTATCAGTGATTTGGCATTGAGAACAAAACCAATCGCCTTCAGGAACACCATTAATGAGGGGATTACCATAGCAAGTGGTGTGAACCATTAGATCACAACCATCGCAAAAGACGATCGGATCTGATGGATCTCCGTCTGTGCTTTGACATACAGCACATAGAATCCCATCTTCATCTTCCTCTTCTTCTTCTTCTCCCTTTTTCACTCTAATATCATCAATTTCTTCGACTTTCTTTGAAACATTTACAGTGACAGAAGCGATGTCTTCTTCCAATATCGGGTTATACTCGAGATTGAGATCAAACGGAGAACTGGGTTTCGGGGGAAGAAAATCCGGGTGAACGGCACAGATTCGTTTTTTGGCGGGTAAACAGTAGGTGGCGGCGGAGGCGGAGATGACGGCATCAGGACTGGTAAGAAACGACGGTGGGTCTCTGGATTCTCTTCTCTTTTTCGCCGGAAGGCTTGAAGAAATCAGCTTGTTCGATTCTTGATGATTAATTGGGTTTTCTGGGTGTATTGCCCTGAATCTTTTGTGAGGTGGCAAGCTATGAAACTTGTTCTCCATTGTTGTTGGGATTGAAATTGAATCAAAGGGAAAGAGATTGATGGAGATTGAAAGAATAGTGAAATGAGTTTTTTCTTTAAAGGAATGATTTGAAGAAAGAAACCCGGGAAGAAGATAAAAGAACATATTTGGGGGAAATTTGAAACCCGCGGGAAGGCAAAAGAAAGATTTCATTTAAATTTTGACTAATTGCAAATTCAAGTTTTAAGTCAAATTTGAATGCTCCAGAATTTTCACCTGAAATATGCAGTTTTTCCCACTTAATTTTTCGTATTTTTTGTTATGATGTTGTAAAAATTTAATATTTCAGTTAACAATAAGATATTTATACGGTTAAATTCATCCAAAAATTTTGTTGAGTTGCGACAACTTTTATAAAATAAATAATCACAAACGTTATCATTTTTTAGGGTGGTTTGAGTTTTGGTAGCATTTTAATGATACAACTTCAAATTTGGTCAGTGGGTTTGTCAATTTTGGGGTTTAAGACTTTTTAAGTAGCTAAACTTCAAATTTTGCATAAAACGTCTCTATAAACATGTTTCATTATGATTTTTCTTTTAATCTCCATCAAAATTTAGACGTTGGTGCCTTCATGTGCCTCTAGCATGAGGGCAATTTAACTTTTTCTTTTCTAATCTCTCTCTTACTTTACATATATATTTAGGCTAAACAATATAAATTTGAGTAGATATTTAGAGCGTTGATATGGCATGTTAGTCATGCGTGAACACCATTTACAGGTGTCTCGTAGGTATGATGTGGCGTAAGCCATGGTTATGAGCGTAGACGACAGAGAAAACAAGATTAACAGTCATATGACCATTTAATCGTTAAAAAAACTTGTAAAAATAACAAATTATTTTTTACCTGTAATACTAACTTTTTCACACGTATTTTAACACTACAAGTGTGATAGCTTCTTTATCAAAAAATTTATATATTTCGTACTACAAGTGATGAACAATTTTCATCTTCATCCAATGACGATGAGATTTTTTTATAGTTTGTTTTAACATTTTTCATTCCAATTCTAGTTAATCATCATGCATTTTTTTAATATTGTTTTATGTCTATATCTGGCATTTTTCTAGTCTTTGAGCATAATTACAAAATTTTAGAAGACTAATATGGAGTGGAGATGTTCGGGAATCATAGGAATTAACCGGACTTGAAGAATGAAGAATCATGGGCTTGTTGAATAGTGAATGAATGAAGAGAGATGGGCATGTAATTAAAAAATACGGACGAATATATGAGCAAACGGATATGATTGATCGAGCGAGTACTCGAGCTTAGGACGACTATGAAGAGGTGAAGTGGGCCCAAAATTAAAGAAATCTTGGAGAATTATGGGCTACAAGCTGATGGGAAGCAAACCGAGCCAGTTGGCTAAAACAGTGCAGCCCAAGATGCAAGAATCCAATTCTACAGGCCACCATCGTAGCTCTGCGCACCCCGCGCAAGGCCTATTGAGCTACTTCCGGAATTTTACATTGTCTGTTATTTGAGGAAGGCTGGTATGGTTCTTTTCCACACTTTTGCACATCCGATTTTGAGGTTTTTCTCATGAGATTTTGTAGGGTTTTGAGAGCTTGAAGAAACATTTTTTTATTCTGGAATCTTGCTACATATTTGGTACAATCTATTTTTATTTTGTTTTCTTGACTTTAGCCATGCTAGGCTAAATTACTCTTGGTTGATGTTGGTGAAATCGATGGATGATTAGTTGTTTTAAGAGTATTATGAGCTTTTGGTGATTTTTATGAAAGTGCTTTGCATTTAAACTTCTTTCTATCTATATGTCTTTATTCATGAGGTTAGATGTATATGCAATGATTAGTTGGATAATTTATTGATTAAGTAATGGATCTTAAAATTAGCAAGCAACAAATGGTTCTTGTGGTAGTTTTCGCTTCACACGGTCATCCAAACACTTTCTCCAACATGGTCGAGAAAGCATATTTACTCCTATCGGATTTGGTGATTTTTTAGTTCTTAATGTTAGTTAACTTTCACTAATTATGTGATTGATGAAAATTGCAACGTTAACTAATGAAATATACTATGGGTTTCTCTAGTTATTTTTACTAACTAAGAAAAGTCTAAATGATTTCAGACTTTTTAGATTGCTATAGCCAAATTAAATTGAATCAAAAGTTTTGCACCATGATGTCTAATGATAATTAACTAAGTGTTCATGACAGGGGCGAAGCTAGGTGGTTCCCTAGGTAGCCCGGATGCCACTAAAAAAAATTCAGTAGTGTACTTTTTTTCGGAAGTTTTTTTGGGATACCCTTTTACCTTAATCTAGGTTCTGCCAGTGGTTCATGTGATTAAAGCCAAAGTCAATCATATTTCTCTCATTTATTTATATGGAACTCTTGGTTTTGTTGAATTGTAATTTCCAAGTCTTAGTATGATTTTAGTTTCTTTAAATAACCAAAAAATTAAAATTTGTATTTTTACTTTTATTTTCGTTTCACAAGTATTTATACAAACAAGATTTTAAGAGAGCTATAAATTGAAACAATCTTCGTGGATTCGATCACTTTACCATTATACACTATTTAATGTACAAGATTTAGAGTATTTATTTTGTTGGCCTCGACAACCACCAATCATACTTTTGGTTAACAAACTAAAAATTTAAATGCCATCAAGAGAATATAATTTTAATAAACATGGATTGTAGCAGTACACGCACTTTCGGTAAGTGCTTCCTTTGTTGATGATGGCTTATACAACCATATTCAATTTAAACATCATTTTCGTGATAATAGACGTTTAATTTGGGCCTGAGCCATGGATCACATGTTTATTCGGCATTAGTGGCCCATTTACATGCCTATTGGGCCTAAGTTACCCATTTGCATGCCTATTGGGCCTAAATTACCCTTTTACATGTCTATTGGACCTTAGTGGCCCATCTACATGCTAATTTAGCCTAAACTATTCAACACTTACTCTTGGAATTTGGAAAACTTGAAAGCATACACGTAAACATTATATAGGGTGAAAAACATAACAATCGTGAAAAGTTGACGATCTAGTGAGACTTGTCGGTTGGCACATTTGAGTGTACGATCGTAACCTGTAGTTATAACCAGAGTTTCCCTTGAGGGAGAGCAGGAGTTTGTGTATAGATTTATACGGGGTGACCCCCCACGCCTTATCTGATCGCTACAGCTAGACTAGGCCAGTCTAGGGCGACAAACCTTACTTAAATCAAAACCGGCACCTGAAAACGCCAAAACAGGTGAATTAGTCATTATCAACCATGGTTGTAACGACTCACTTAGAGACTAACTTCATCAAAGATTTCAGTATATTTATACAAACCTGGACGATACTAAAAACATACATACATTGATACTCGGTCTTGGAAATTTTATGATTACGATACTTTAATAAGCAGAAAATATCGGATTTTCTGGGATAAATACATTTATACATTACCTTCTACTTACAACAAAAAATACAGGGTTTTTATCTGGATTAAATTTTTATTTATTTATACATTCCAAAAGCAGCAAACACACATGCATTTATACTTGATTTTGACACATTACTTTCAAACTACTTTACATAAAATATCAAATTTCTTAGTGTTTTACGAACCATACAAAACTTTTCAATCAAACATGCCTATGAACTCACCAACATTATATATGTTGACGTTTTCAAAAAAAATTGTATTCTCATGGACTCGTTAAGCGAAAGAATCAACAAGAATATGGGATTTTGTTTTGTGTACTGTTAAACATCATACATTGAATGTTTTGGTCATGTAATTTAAAAGACTGTATTTGATTTAAACAATGGAAATTGTATTATATTATGCACGGATAATGATGATGTTATGTTTCATTTATATTTATTGTGATGATATTTCAATTTACAGTCACACGAGCCCTCGGACGTTTTCTCCGTCTGGTTCAGGGGTGTGACAGTGTCATATTACCAAATAATGGACCATTTCTAACAGATCTTTTTTATACCGATGACACCATGTTTATTGGTAAATGGGAAACATGGAGTATCCACAACCTGACTCCAATACTAAAATGTTTTCACATTAGTTTTGGTCTTAAAGTAAACTTCCACAAATTGAGTTTATATGGTATTGTTGTGACAGACTCTAAATTAAATGATCAAGCCCAAGTCCTAGGTTGTATCAGGGGATCCTTTCTGTTTACTTACTTGGGTGTTCCGGTTGGGGCTAACATGTGTCTAAAAAAACACTAGCAACCAATAATTAAAAAATTCCATTCAAGATTGTCGATTTGGAAAGCAAAAACTCTCTCGCTTGGAGGACGAATCACACTCATTAAATTTGTTCTCAATAATCTACTTACATTCGACTTCTCATTGTTCAAGGCACCTATTGGTGTGATAAATGTTCTATAAAAGATTAGAAGACGTTTCATGTGGGGTGGTAATAACATAAAAGCAAAGATTCACTGGGTATCGTGGTCGAAGGTAATTGCGACAAAAAAGGAAGGGGGCTTGGAGTTGATTCGTTAAAAGCACGTAACTTATCACTACTCACAAAATGGCTATAGAGATTAAGAACGGACCATAAAAGCTTATGGAAAATTGATTGGTTTAGGTAAAACAAATAAACTAGAAAAACAATTTCTAAATTCACATGCAACCTACTTTGGATTTATGTTTTAACTATTGAACGTATAACTTTGAATTATAAAACAAGAGCCATAAGGAGGAGGCTATTTTCGAAAAATTATAAATTAGGGTTTTAGAATCACAAACCTCTCAATTGTTACAATAAACAATTGGTAATCCTTGATCTTGATCTTCTTGGAAGTTTAACACCATAAATGTAATGCCTCTAATGGAATCACACCCAAGAACTAGCAAGAAGGAGACTATAAAGATAGGAGGAGAGAGTATGCAATTTTTGGCTAGGGTTTCTACAGGTGTAGGGATGGATGAAATTCAGGAGTCGGGAGGCTCCTTATATAGCTGAGGCAGCTAGGGTTTAAGGGAAAACCCTAATGTTTATTTATTAGGGCCCAAGATTATCCATAAGCCTTATCCAAGGCCATTGGACAAAATCATTAGGTTTTCTCCTATAGATTTTGTCTACCTCCTCCTAGGAGGTTCTGGAACCTTCCATCCAACTATTTAACAATTGCAAACTAGTCCCTGAACTTTATGATTAATACAATTAACCCCAAAATTAATTTATATTAATTTATTAATCTTATAATAAATTAATCTCTCTCCTTTCATAATTTATTTGTCCAGTTGTTATGTTTGAGGCAACCCAAAAAGACTGTGTTGCCATCAATTCAAGTACGTATCAATTATAATTATAAGCTTAGGCACATAATCCAACAAAATTTGCGTCATTAGTATTCATAATCTCAAGAGGAAACCAGTTACATACATTGTAGAAAAAACGATTGCAGGTAATTGGTGCAACATCTCGAATGTTGTCAATGAGGTACTTGTGAGTAATCCAAACATGTCTTCACAAATTCCAAGCTCAAATACAAAAATCCTGTTTTAGTTGGATTGTTGGTGTGGTATAGTGCAATTCAAAGACAAATTCCGATTATTATATGAGCTGGAATCGGTAAAAAAATGTTATGTTACTAAACGGATTTCCAACTCAAGCTTTACATGGAGATGGAAGTCTATACTCCGTGGATCCAATGTTTTAGATGAATTCTTGGAGTTATGCTCATTAATTGACAACATTAAGATATCACATGTGACCTTAGGATTTCGATTCAACCTCAATCCAAATGGCATATATAGTGTTAATACATTGAGAAGACATCTAGACTACACATCAGCCTCTCATACAAGAGTGATTATTGATTAGGCGAAAGTGATTCCTCTTAAAGTTAGATGTTTCATATGGATGGCTACATTAGGAGGATTGCATGTTGCACTAAATTTAGTGAGTAGGGGCATAAGTGCCCAATCCAATTTACGCCCTCTATGTGAGCCTGAACCAAAATTTGTGGATCATGTTCTGATATAATGTAAAGTTGCAACGGAGACCAGAAATCGGATCCTTAATTGGTGTGTTATTCCCATTAAACAATTCTCCAACATGAAAGAATATATCGAATTTGTTGCTTCATGGGGCAATTGTCCAAGAAAACAGAGGATTATCACATTAATCTTCTACTGTATGGTGTGGTATATTTGGATGGCAAGAAATCAAAAGGTGTTCAAAAGATTGAAAATGACTCCATCAAAGATCGTGGATGATATCATCTCTCGTTCGTATTCATGGTATAAGTATCGCAGATCTACGCAATGTGGTAGATGGTTTGAATGAAATATTTCTCCTTTTAGTTTCTGTTAATTTGTACTTATTTGAACACCTTGTGTTTGCCCACAATCTAGCTCCTTGCTAATTGTGTGGCTTTTGTTTTCAATATATTACGGTTTCCAAAAAAAGATTAAAAGTTATAATAATTAGTATAAAGTATGTTATTATAATCTAATGATTAAAAGTTAATCGTTAAGGGGTATTGTTAAGTACCAAGTAGAAAATTATATGAATAAGACCTCCCTTATATTTTGTGAGTTACAAGTTTGTGTTTGTCAATTATTTGTATTAAGTTGCTTTTTAGGAGTTTTGTTGTCTTTACCACAAATTGGTGTTTTGATTTTTATGTGTTTACTTTAACTATCACCGGAAAATCCAAAAAAAAGTCATATCCTCCCTTAACTGGCTCATCCCTAGACTGGAAAATCCAAAAAAAAAAAAGTTTAAAATATGTTAACTTACTAATTCTCTAAACCCAAAATCATAGCCTCTATAGTGAGAAATCACACTTTCTTATATTGGGTAGTGTATCTCTAGGATTGGAGAATAAAGTTTGCGAGAGAGGGGACAAGGAGATAGACTGGGTTTGGTTAGTGAATGTCATGCTTTGTAATGTATATTGAGTTTTCCATTACTTTATGTGTTTATTATTATTATTATTATTATTATTATTATTATTATAAAAATGCATATTATGATAAACATACATATATTTAGATCATCTCTAACCCTACACCATTTTTTACACCAAAAGAATATTCTTGTGTGTGTGTGTGTGTGTGTGTATATATATATATATATATATATATATATATATATATATATATATATATATATATAGGCTTAGATTATTTTGTTTTTACTAACTATTGTGTGCCAGAATGCAAATATCTGGACCAACGGATGGAATTCATCAATGAACATGATTTGAGAGTGTATGATATTACAATGGGATAGCATATACCATATAATCACACAAATTTTAGCAGAAGGATAGTTTGGACAATTAACTACAATTATAAAAGGAAATTTTCGGATATTTATGGATAATTAATTCTCCTAATTTTAATTATATGATTTTTTAATTCATTCAATTTTAATTCTAACATAATTTGTAAAAATAACCGATTTATTCTGACAGAATATTTTTTAAGTTAGAATGATGCTCTTTCAGAATTTTATTCTATTGCAATATTATTGAAAAATAACTACATTCTAACATATTCTGAAAAATAACTACATTCTAACATATTCTGTCAGAATAACATAATGCCAATCATAAACTACTAAATACATTCTGAAAAGAATACACAAAATAGATTCTTGAACTGATAATATACCAAACAATTAATTGTGATTCTTTGAATAATAACAATATTCTGAAAGAATAACAAGTGTAACTCTTAAAAAATAACAACATTCTTAAACATTGAGTGTGATCATTCTTTAATTCATTCTTCAAACTTTTCCCATCAGTTCTTCAAGTCATTCTTCAAGCCATTTCAATCACAAATTCTGTTAGAATGCAACAGTAAAATTCTGTTAGAATACACTATCAACATATAAAATATTAAAATTTTATCAAAATAAAACAGCAAAATTCTAGCAGAATTTATTATCAACATATAAATAACTAATTAAAACCATAATCGAAAGACATGAATAAAAAAAAAAGTTAACAAATTTTTATCCTCTCAATTTATTAACAATCGAATGAATAAAAAAATTAACGGATTTGATACTTCCATGGTCCTACAAAACAATTTATAATACAACTGAAATAAAGTTGATTCAAGAGTTTTGTTAAACACCTTACTTACAACAGAAACCTTTATGAAGAAACCATTTATATTTGCCAAAAAAATAGTTGAACTCATATAAAAAGATTGGATAAAAAATCTAGAAACCTGATTTAAGCATTTTATCGAGCAGTTGGTATGCAGCATGAAACTTTCTTTAAATTCTCAATAATGACAGCTTATCCCTTGGCCAATAAACCTGTGAAAAACATGAAAAACAAAATCTTGTCTCTTAGTATTTTTAACAAACAGTTGGTAGGCACTAAATAAATAATTGGTTACTCAATGTCTTTTTCAAATTCAAGCACAGGAGAGCTCAAACCTTCTATCACTCCATTTGAAGCCAACAATAAACGGAATTGGTTGATACTTCTTAGAAAGAATGCATTCTTTAATTTTTAGTACTCTGTTTTGTTTGCTAATTAAAGATCGCTTATTCATAACAAAAGAACAAAAAAATAAAGAAGACAATATTATTTGGGTAAATAATGAAACTTACCAGTTCCGGTTGTTGATCTTGAAAGAATCAGATTTTCGGTAAGAAGACCCAAAATCATTGATATGTCATTGAGCGAGACGGGACGTGGTATCGACCCGGTAAGTAGAGTTCGCCATCCTGCTTAAAGCAAGCGCCACCGTGATTTCATGGAAGCAATCAAAAATTCCATCCAACACCAACTCTCCATGTTTTCCCAAGATTGCTTCTTATCTAAAACACACACACACACACACACTTTCACCCACACTACAGGCTGTGCTTGCTCCAAGATTTTAATAAATTTACTGGCTTCAGAGGGATTATGGCTCCACTTCCTTGCGATCTGATGAAGAGGGAGGAAGAAGAAATCGGGTCTTTCATATGACTGCTGATCGAAAAAAGAAAAGAGCAGGGATTAGGGTTACTGAGATGAACAACGATTTAAAAAAGGATCTGTGATATTCATTTAATGATTTTCCAAATATACAACATTTATTTTTGGTTTATAAAGGTAAAATGACTAAGTTACCCTTTTTATTTAATTAATGATTTCTTTTTTCCTAAATTCTGATTGGAGCATTTAGGCACATAATATTTGTTAAAAACATTTGAACCTATCTCTCTCTCTCTCTCTCTATATATATATATATATATATATATATATATATATATATATATATATATATATATATATTATTAAAAACACCTCTCTTACATATTAACTTTTAACATAATTTTTTATATAAAAACCTTATAAATATATAACTACAATATTATAAGCAAGCTAATTGTTTGTATATTATTAATTCAAATTAGGTGTTATTTTATCCAAACAACATTTGTTAAATAAAAAACTAATTTTTAATCATTAAGATAAGTTTTATATTAATTAATATCAACTTAATATATAACATAATATTATAATAAATAATTATTATATTTGGAATATACCTATCGTTTTTTATAAAGTAGAATCAAATTAAACATTAGAATTAAGGACTAAAAATGATATATGAAAGTTTATCATTATTTTGGTGTAAAAGAACAATATAGCACCAAAATTGTGTTATATATTATTTATTTACATCATTTTGGTGATAAAGTTTATGTAGGATTGAAGATAAGTCTCAATCATGTAAAATATGAGATATGATGTTAGGTTAGAGATGCCTTTAGATTGTCGAATCTTAACGTCTCACTATGTTATTGTAAATCTAGCATACTACTTTTTGACACATGGTTATATCAGGGACATTAAAGCTTTTGAAGGAGATGGAATAGCTTGCTTCTTTTAGAATATATGTTTGAACTGACTATACTAGGCATTTAAACTTATGTCTTTTTTTGTTATATTGTGATAACTCTTAAACGTTTTTTTACTTAAAATACGTTAAATGATGAAAACTTTTGTTATTTAAGACTTTTTAGTTTTTACTATCAAAATTATCGTTTTAAACGGTAATTGGTGCACCCGGCCTTGATAAAAGCGGAAGCTCTAAGGTTTCAATCAAAATTTATTGAATAGTGTCCGGACAAGCGATTTTTCAGAGCAATCTGTTTCGAAAAATCTCTACACAGGATAAGTATGATCTAGAATCTCATTTTTCAAAAGCGCAGTTTGGGCATGCAGAAATTACAAATCACCGGGTCCAGATGGATTCACATTCAAGTTTATTAAGAAATATTGGGACGTCTTACTTGGTGATATTGCAGCCGTGGTGAAGTACTTTGAAAGATATAGGAAACTTGATTCATCATGTAACTCCTCCTTTATTATTGCAAAGATTTTCGCAGTAAGACTAAAGCAGGTTATGGGATAATGTGTTGGTGAAGTCCAAACAACGTATGTGTCGGGTCGGAACATACTAGACGGACCTCTACTTGTGAACGGGATTTGTGCATGGTCGAAAAAATAAAAAAAAGAAGCTTTTATTATTCAAAACAGACTTTGACAAGGCATTTGATTTCGTTAATCGGAGATTTCTGACAACAATATATATCAAATGGGCTTTGGTGAGAAATGGAGGGGTTGGATCAAGGGCTGTCTAACGTCATCAAAAGCATAGGTTCTAATAAATGGAACCCCGACAAATGAATTCACAACATCCAAGGGAGTTCGACAAGGTGACCCGCTCTCTCCATTTCTTTTCATTATAGCAATGGAAGGCTTGACTGCTGCAATGAAGGAGGCCTATAACAATGACGTTTTTCAAGGGCTACAACTTCCAAAAGGTGGCCCAACCGTCTTACACTTATTATACGCCAATGATGCATTATTTATTGGTGAATGGACAGAGCACAACGTAAAGAACTTGGCAAGAATTTTAAGATGCTTCCATGTATCATCAGGTTGAAAAGTCAATTTTAATAAATCGAGAGTTTTTGGGGTCGGAGCACACTTTGAAGAAGTTGCTCGTTGGGCGACTCCGCTTGGGTGCGAACCAACGAATCTCCCATTCAACTACCTGGGGTGCCTGTTGGCGCCAATATGCCGCTAAAGAAACATTGGCAATCGGTAATTGAAAGGTTTCAAAAACACCTTACCATTTGGAAATCCAAGATGCTATCTTTCGGAGGAAGGCTCACACTCATAAAATTGGTCCTGGGAAATTTGCCCACATACTTCATGTCTCTTTTTGTCGCGCCGGGATAATCAACAAGCTTGAAAAACTAAGAAGGGATTTTTTGTGGGGCGGTTCAGAGGGTAATTCCAAGATACATTGGGTATCTTGGAATAAGATAATTGCTAACAAAAGCGACGGGGGGCTCGGTGTTGGTTCGATTAAAGCTTTCAATACGACTTTGATCGTAAAATGGTGGTGGCAGTTTCGCTCTGAGCCGGAATCAATATGGGCAAAAGCTATCTCCAGCATTCACAATCTTCAAGGCAAACCTGATCACATATTATCCTTAAAAACCTTACCTGGGGTTTGGAACAACATCGCTTGTTCCAAAAAAAAATCTAGATAAATGCGGTATCACAATTAACATGGTAATGGAAAAACAATCAACAAATGAAGGTGGTGATTTGAACTGGACTTGCCCTCTCAGTAGCAATGGCAATTATCAAGTCAATACATTACGGAGGAAATTAGACAACTGCAATTCTGTTGATATCAGGAGGTTCGAATGGGTGAAGGAGATTCCAATCAAGGTGTCAACTTTTATATGGCGAGCAAAACTGGAGCGCATTCCAACATCTGTCGCTTTATCGAAACGAGGTGTCAATGTATCCTTCATGATGTGTTACAATTGTGGAGAGGTAGAAGAAACATCAGATCATATGCTGATTCAATGCTCTTATGCAAAATAATGTGTTATCATTGTGGAGAGGTAGAAGAAACATCAGATCATATGATGATTCAATGCTCTTCGATAATGAAATGGATCTTAAAATGGTGCAACATTCTGCTGGCAAACTTTTCCACGGTTCATGATACACTCGATTATGCATCAAATTGGGGGAATTGTCCAAAGAAAAAAAGAAGATTGTTGGGAAATTTCTATGGAACTATGTGGAGTATTTGGAAGTCACGGAATAATAGAGTGTTTAATAAAAAAAAAGGCTGCAACCGACGAAATTGATGGATATCATTATGTCGACTGTGTTCATTTGGGTCAAATATAAAGGAAAATATGATTCGATTCGGTGGTTAGATTGGTGTCTAAACCCTTTTATCGGGTTATAATCATGTTTTTTTATTTCTTCTGTTTTTGTTTTGATTTCCTTCTTTGATGTACTTTTCCTTAACAACTTGCTAGGGTTCTATTTTTATATAATTCTTCATTTTCCGGTTAAAAAAAAAAACTATTTGAGTTAATTAATACTCCTATATTAAACATAATAAAAAGGCCGTGAAAATGGATGACGATTGATGAGTGATGACATTAAATGCCTTAAATTATTATATGACCCACAATCTTGTTGGCTTTACACGGTATAACGTTATCCACACAACAATATAAATATTTTTCTTACCTTTTCTTCCTCAATTTACATATAGTATTATCAAAACTGAATTACGATTTCGATCCAAATTATACTAGGCTTGAGTTTGGCATAAGATCTGATTTGGGTTTGTAGGATCCTGATCGTATTATTTTTGTTCGAAATCAACAATTTCATAATAAGTTTGTACGCATTTATCCCCTTTCATAATAAGTTTGTACTAAAAAAACATGTCATATCCAAAAAAACTGAAAAAAAAAAAAAATCGAGAAAAAAACTCAATAAAAAGAATCACGAAGAAACATTTTTGATCAATCTTACCATTCCATCAAAATTTGTTTTGGCCTTCGAAATAAGGTCAGTTATATATAAATAGCACACTGGTTATATTAGATTATTGGTTGGTACATGTTTAGATAATATTCTTTTATCAGCAATATTTGATGATTTTGAAATAAATTAAATAATAAAAAGTGGAATAAAAAAGAGTTTTAAAGATAGAAAAGGGTCCAACATTAATTGTATATAATAATTGTTGTGCATATAATAATGAGAGGAGAGGAGAGGAGAGCAAGAAAAGAATGGCGGCTTCTTCGGTTTCACTCGTGGCCTTCTTCAGCCTTCTCTTCCAATTATTCCTCTCCATTTCTGAAGCCATTCTTCCCCCCTCCTCCTGACGTCTCCGATTCCGATTAAACCCACAGATGCAGACGGCGGAGCCACCTGGCGAAGCTTCGGTGGTTCCGGGGATTTCTTCCATTGTTAATTTCCGATGATTGCTATTAATTCATCTCTCTCTCTTTTTTTTTTTGGTAAGAGTGTTACAGTTGAAATTCCAAACGCCTTTTTTTTTCTTAAAAAACCTTTGGAAAATTGGCGATGTTTGTTGGGTTGTTGATTATCTACGATTGAATTTTGTTTTGTACGCTGAAATTAATTTTAAAGGAGAATTTGGTGTGAATTACAAAGTTTGAATACTCTGTGTGGATATATTTATTTTTTGTAGTAATGATGAAAAAAAAAAAAAAAGTAAATGATGAAATGGTGGTTTGGATGAAGAAGTATTGTTGGGATAAGTCGTAAGTGACATCATTTGGAAATAAACAAGGAAACAAGGTTTCAAATGGTTTTATTCGGTTTGTTATATGTTGAAATGAAATGACGTGTTTTTTCTGCAAGTATCCTCCAAAACTGTTAAATAAATAAATAAATAAAATAATTGTAATCTGTGAAGAGATTTAAGAATTATTGGTATAGTTTTTGTAATTATATGTAAGTAGATAAGTTAAAGATAATAGAAGTAGAACCTTTGAGTATTTGTAGGCCAACCAAACACTAGAGGGATTAATTAAGGTTATGTTAACTGAAAAACCACGTGTCACCTCTCCTGATAAAAATCAAACACCTGTAACATGAAATATATGAACATGCAAAAAGATATAATATATGAGGAAAAGAGAAAAAGTTAAAAAGTAGCCACCTGACCTGTCGAGATTTGTTTTGTTTGTCAAGGCCAAGAGTGTGATGCACCGAAATCAATCAAACACGAGCTACATGAACATGAAATCTGAATGTCAAAAAACATATAAGAGGAGCAGTAAAACAGATTAAAATGCCATGTCATGTAACTCATTGCATAACAAATATGAAACAAACGTTACAACAAAAGCATATTAAGCTGCCATATAACAGTCTACTAATTACCATCAACACTTGAAAAACTAACCAACACAAGACCTAATCAAACATTCAAGTAACAAACATCACACACAAAAGGACAATTACATGCCTTTCAATTTCAAGTTAAATTAAATTACGAGAGTCGACATGCATAAATAAATAAGTTTAAAACACCCACTCTTCTCTTGTCTAATTCTATGCTACTATATATAATATAACACCATTAACAAGAGTAGACGACCACTATGTATGTACAGTGTACTTAATGTTAATATCTCTCTTAATGAGAAATTGCAGAAACTTTGAACACATAATCATGCTCTTTCACCAGTGGCTTCACTTCACTTGTAATCTTGTGTACCAATCATTTTTACTAGTATTTACCACTAACTGATGTCACCAACTTATAAGGAAAACATAGCACCATAAATGTCCAATCTGCTAATTACCTAGACTTGGATAAACACACCCCAAAATACTGATAAAAGAAAAAAACACCTTTGTATCTAATATGCACATATAAAGAAAGCTACTGCATTCCTAAGCTTCAAAAACCAAAATGGAAGAAAAAGAGGATCAGGGGATAAAAGTAAACTATTGTTTATTAATCACCCTCATTCCTATGGCTATGGATGCTTCTGGAGTTAATAAGTATTAGTCTTGGAAAAACAGATATCCTCTACAAATCAAGACACATGAAAAAAAAAACATTATAATTCTTAAGTGGGTGTTTGAGTAGGTGAACAAGAACCACCAAAGAAAAAAAAAACCATGAAACCATTTTACTGATTTGATTTGCTCACAAAATTTCATCACTTACTTGATTGTGATTGTGAAACTCATCCTTCAAATCTTGTAGCAACCAGCAGTACCCTTCCTTGAGGCTTTTGTGCAAACAACTGATACTATCTATGTCCATATCCCACAATACACCAAAAACAAGCAATTGAATTGCCTTTCAAATTTGCAATTCATTACAATTCCCAGATCTCAATGAGTAGCAACACCCCAGATCCAAAAAAAAAAAAAAAAAAAAAAAAAAAAAAGTAATCTAGATAGTGGAAATTGTTGTAGTTTTCACAGGTCCAAAAGGGACAGGAGGGTATTATAAACAAGAAGCATAAAAGGTGATATTTTTATAATAACTCCACATCCACAAACTCAAGATTACAACTCTAGTTGATCATTACATGCTAATAAGTTCTGTAGTTGCAGCTAATAAAATGAAATTTGTTTTATTAAACTTCAACAACATTTTTAACTTCCCTGCATATCAGTAACAACTTCAATTTGGCAATAAAAAGATCCTGGACACTTAATTTTCAAAGGTAGGTTACATTTACACGAAAGAAGATGAACCTAGAAGCAGAAGATGTCCAATGCTACATTCACTAGATTATCAGCAAATTATATCAAAAAGATAATATATATATATATATATATGATTGGTTACTCATATTACTTCTATGTTTATTATTATTATGTCAGCATATGATACAAGTAAATAACCTGTTTCATGACACAACACAATCAAGCATGCATAGCTCTTGCCTCTAGTAAAACCAAAGTATTTGCCCTCTCTCAACTTAAATATGAAGAGTCGGGAGGAAAAAAGAAGGAAAAATAGGTAAGGTGTTAGTGTCTTAAGTCTTAATACATTAAGCCAGGTTTTTTGGCTTAAACCATTAAGTCATTATGTCCAGATCATGTCAAAGAAACAACTATGTTTAATTGTCCAGATTGAGTGCTTAATCCATTAAGTAAAAAAGAAACAGCCTCCTACAAATCATCCTTAATATCTACAGAAAATAATAGGACAAAACACACAATAGTAAGCTCAAATATCATAATAATCAGCAATTGTTTTAGTAACCAAATAGCCCTCAAATCCAACTAATAAGAGAGCCTCATTACCAACCAAATGTATAGTTACTTAACCAAGGACTATATTAGCTCTGACAGTAACTGGCTATCTAAGCTCAACTTTACTGAAACATAGAGATCTTTAAGGAATTTATGGGTAAATGTTAAATGAATTTAAAAAGTCTGATGCAATTGTGAATGTATATCAATCAACTTAGCAACACTAGTTCCCCTAAGATAAACAGAGACATCATACACTCATCCTATAACATCATTATCAAGAATCACCAACACCATTTTGTATTTCCAAAAAACATTTGTTGGTTTCAGACCATACTTAACAGATACACATGCTGGAGAACCTTAATAAGTCATAGGTAAAATAATTTAAAAACCTTAGTAAAGTCAAGAAAGATAACTCATAAATCATAATATAACATAGATATATATGCTCTAGATGACACACAAATAGACATATATCAATATAAAAAGCCAACTCTGAGTTCAAATTAACTGCTAGCATTTCCAAAATAGCATTCATAATAATTTAATAAAGGTCTTATATAAGATAACATTTTTAAACAAACGTACACTTCAATTCAAAGCACCATAAGAGTCCACATCTTAGCAATGAGATAATCTATCACTTTATCTGTGTCCTTGAGCCCTTTGCATATCATATGATCCCCAAGATCCAGGCCCAGGCCCATACTGAGGGTAACCTTCACCACCAGGTTGCACCTGATTGTTTGTAACATTGATAAAAAAAAAAATAAAAAAAAATAAATGAGCCCCAAAAAGAAATAACCCCTAAGAAAGAAACTAAGAAAATGAGATATAACTTACAGGATTCATGGAATAACTTGCAGGGTAAGGATTCCCTGAATAGTTAGCTTCAGTATTGACATAATTTGGGTTATATCCTGTGTATGAAGAACACCCAAGAAGTCAATCACTTTGATAACTTCCTAAAAGAATCATCAACAATGAGTAATAGCCTACCTGGATTTTGATTGGCTACAGCTACAGCTACAGCAGCACGGGCCCGCTTTTCAGCATTTGCCATCTCAGCACGCAGCTTTTCAAGCTCACGAGCCATAGAGAGTAAATTCTTCTCCATCACTTGACCATGTTCATAGTTCTCTGCATGCCCCTTCTTCTCATGTTCAATTGCAGCCCTTCAAGAAGGAAATATCATTTGATTACAACATCCATATGCAATGTATTACATGTGTATAGTGACATGGACATGAATGATGAACTGATGAAGTCACCTTGCATGTTGTAATTCTTGTCTAAGCCCATCAATTTCTGACTTCAGTCCTGGAACTTGCTGCAACTCAGAAGTAGCTCTAGCAAGATCTTGAGTCATACCCTGAACTTGACTAGTAAGTTTTTGGCGTGTAGAAGTCAACTCCTTGATGTCAGCATGTAATTGCATAAGCTCAGCTCGCATAGCTTCTACTCCATGAAGATCGTGTTCCATTTTTGCTGACTTCTCATATAACTCTCTCATCTGCATATCTTTCTCCATGAGGAAATTGCGAGCAAAACGATCTGTTTGTTGAAGCTCATGTTGTGCAGCTTCAAGTTCTTGCTTGAGTGCAACATGGGTTGCAGCTAACCTCTGATTATCAACCAAAAGCCCTTGAATGTCTTGATGTTGAGCTGCTAATCGCTCCTCAATGATAGCAGGGTGAGGAGGGAGTTGTCTGGGACCCATTCCAAATTGAGCTTCTCTCATCTCCTCAAGCAATGCAGGATGAGGAATTGGACCTAGATTCCTTCCATATGGAGGCTCGTGAATGGGCGCCAATCCAACATGAGATGGACCTTTCATTGGAAGCGGAGGTCCACGGTTCCTCCCAGACATCTCTCTCACAGGAATTCAACAGATGAAAGAGCGTAACTTCTTGGAGATTATGTAAAATCTAGTGTACAAACAGACCTAAAGAAGCAAAGAGAGGGAAAATAAGCAACTGATCACGAGAATCTATGGTAGTACTACAGTTAGTCTAATATAAGCTCATGCAAACGCATAAACTTCAAGTCTGTTAGATTGTTGAATATCATCCAGGAAACTTTTGCCAATCTCGTTATAATTCCTAAGAATCAACACGACTATAAAATTGTCGATTATGTGTACTGCGTAGAGATCACGATATTTGATACTAATGTTAATCCCTGATGAATTATACCCGTTAATCAACAGAGGAATCCGACGATCATCAATTTAAGCAAGTACAAACGTCATATACATCTTTTATAAGACCTAGTTAACAAGAACCGGTGATAATTTGGCATGCATCGAAAGAAAAAATAGGAAAATGCTAAGAGGACGAAAACCCTAGAGAATCTAATAGACGATAAATTGAAGACGCTAACCTGAGCCCTATGGAGACTAGATGAATAGCTTCGAGTCTCCCGTCTTCAATGGAGAGAGAGACGAGTACGTTAGCAGCAGAGCGTGATGAGGTTGTCGGTATTTTGAAACCCGAATCTAAACCCGACGGGTTCGGTCAACCCAATCCATATGATCTTAGTGGACATTGGAGTAGATCCGTTTTCTATTTTATCTATTTGATGTTTAAAATTTGGAAAAATGACATCAAGCGGAAAATATTACTATGGCATATCTTTAACCACTTTACAGCTTACTTTCTTTCTTACTTTCGACTGAGTTCAAAAGGAAGATAGAAGCGAAAAGAACATATCGAAAAAGCCGGAATCGGTGTATTGTCTGGGATGATAGCTTTGTTGATTGCACGTGCTAAATATTTGTTAATTTTTAGATTTAGATTGGTTATTAAGGTTAATTTTTTGTGCAATAGACCATTTAACTCGTTTATAATTATCCATTAAACAATTTTACTTGAATTTAATAAGTGTACGGATAACAATGATGATATGGCACTACTATATGAAAACAATAACAATATGTGTGCATGGAAATAATAGCAATCGTGATGTTGCTAATCACACAATCACCCGCGCCTCCCAAAATGAATCAAATGAATATTACAAGCTGTATATAAGTTCATCTCTAGCAAAAAACACTCGCCTTCATGTCCCCTCCCCCCCTTTCTTATTCATGCACCCCTTCTACTTATGTTGTAGGAATCGTCGCGACCTTGGATTTCCACACAAATAAGAAAACCCTAAATTCATACCCATACATGATGGCTAATCGTTGACCCTAGCAAGAGGAATATCGATCATTTGCTCATTGTTATGCTTTTTAAGCATTGTTCTTTCAGTTTGTACATATCAATTTAGGAAATCAAAGAACATAATTCTCAATTAAGGATAAACCATACATTGAGTCCCCCAAATATATGTAGAGCCTCTCCCCGAGGGAAACCTAATCTAAACCTTGCAATCGTCGTGTGCTCAGTAAATCCCTATCATTGCTTAACGATTTCTTCAACATTAACAAGCTTTCCACTAGCAAGCTTGTCAAGGTTCTTTCGGTTTGTACATGATGGACCATCGTTGGCCCTAGCAAGAGGAAGATCGATCATTTTCTTATTGTTCTACTTTTTAAGGAAGGTTTTTTCGGTTTGTACATATCAATTTAGGAAATCAAAGAACATAATTCTTAATTAAGGGTAAACCAGACATTGATTCACCAAATATCTGTAGAACCTCTCCCTGAGGGAAACCTAATATAAACCTTGGAATCGTCGTGTGGCCAATAAAGCCCTATAATTGCTTTACATTGCTTAACGATTACTTCAACATTGACAAGCTTTCCACTAATTTGCTTCATATTGCTTTATAGCGTCTCACAATGTCTTAAATGGTGACAAGCCACACGATGTTTTTCACTGCCCTTCCGATTCCCTCTACATCATTGTTGACAATTCATAAAAACTCATGTTTTTTACATTAAATGAAGCACGTTGCCATTTCAAACATTTTTACCAAAAACACAATCGTGCTTTTTGAGAAACACAATAATGTAAGTCCTTTGAAATCCTGAATTTTTTTTTTTTTTTTTTTTTTTTGCTTAGAAAAGTTGTGAACAATAAACAAGATCGCAGAATGAAAAACACGATCATATTTTTCCAAAAATACACGTTTTGGGCACGATGACCGTTTTAACTATTATATAATATGAGATCGAAATTAAAGGGTTGGATACTAATTAATAAATAGTTGGTTGATCATGAATATTCCAGAACCCTTATGAGAATAAGGGTTGGACGAAATCTCCTATGGATAAGAAGGATCCTCAAATATTCATTACATCCCTCATAGGATGGAGGACAATCTCAGGAAGAAAACCAAAGTTATAAATAGAGCCTTAGAGATCTCATTATTTCTTGTTTATTGACTAGACTATTCGTCGTCCTTCTCCCTCCATTATAGTGGACAATTTCTTAGTGAGTTTGTCCATTTTCTTAGTCAATCTTATTATGCTCTTTTTATTTTATTAAGTGTGAACTAAGATAGAGATTTTAGTTTGGATCCTTTCATCCAAATAAGGTGGCACACACAAGAGATTCTAGTTTGGATCCTTTTGTCTAAACAAGCTGGCACACATAAGATCGCAAGCTCGAAGGTCACTAGCTATAAGAAATGTATGTACTTATTCCTTTGTTTATTATTTTCATATGGTAGCAGCAATAACATGAAACATAGATACTTGGTTGCATAAACACATATGATGTTATTATGTTTTTGCTGCCATGATAATATGTTTATATGTATAAAACCTAACAAGAGTGAGAATAAGAGAACTTGTTTTTTTACTAATCCATTATGGAGGTCTTTGTATATTAAGCCCTTATAATCATTCCTGCACGAGGAACAAGGGCATCAAATCCGACAACGGTGATAATCGTGTTATTTTCTTAGTCATTGCTTGTAATTAGTTCAAGTGGTAATGCTTTGAGCATTACCTTTATTGCATGAATGTGTTGCCTTTTTTATCTCAAGACAATAATGTATGTTGAAGAGACAAACCCCAGCTGGCTTGCTGGCACGAAGCGTTGCCTAACTAGAGTGAGGCGAAAATCGACTGGTGTGGAGCATAACCACTTGCCAGTTGTCACTAGTTTTGGCTAAACAACAGTCACCAAAACAACTTGCAAGGTGTTTCTCGGACGTATCCCAACATATCCTTATAAAACATATAAACTCACACATATGCCAAAATACTTATTAATAATTAATATTTAAAAATTATAAACATTATCTTTTAAATTAGATTATAATTAAATTACTAAAAATGCTCATTTACAATCCTTCCATAATCGATCTTCTTATTCACAATATGGTTATTCGCGACCTCAATATTTTGCCGCTTCATATTATGGATAATCGGATACCAAAACCTGATAACTCTAATCGATTCTTAAACAATATATTTCATCTCCCATAACTATTTAGGAGACTTGATGTTATTCTCTTGCAAAAAAGTTTGGTTCTTCTGGTAAAATCATAGATAAACTAATTTTAATATGAGTGTTAATGTTTTACAAAATAAGTCAAGAATAGTAATACAGAAGAAAGATAATATTGTAACGTAAAAATTAATCATTTTTTAATACTCAATTTAAAGATAATATTTTTTTAATATATTAATAAATATGAATAAATTATATATATATATATATATATATATATATATATATATATATATATATATATATATATATAGTAGTTTATAATCTCTTGAACCACAATTACAAAATTAATTATACTTTCACTGTAAAAATTTAAACTTTTTAATCAATTAGTTTAAATAAATTGTTAATTAAAAGATATTTTTTAGTTATATAAAATTATAATCGTTGATTTAAATAAATATATGATCTTATCATTTGTATTACTTTTATTTTAATTTTTATTCTAATGTTATTAACTTAATGAAATTAGAGTAAGTAATTTAAAATTTGAAATGAAAATCAATAAGTTGACAAATAATATGTTATTAATTAGGAGACCTAAAAAGATGATACATGGCAAAAAAGATATAAAACTATTTTTTTATTAGAATATATATATATATATATATATATATATATATATATATATATATATATATATATATATATAAAAGTTTATAGATTTTATAAAAATATAAATAAAACTGTAACATGTGTGTTATGATTTTGAAAGGAATACAAACTCAATGGTTTGATCAATGACGTAAGAAGAAGCATAGTAATGTTGAAATTTAAAGTGATTTTGACCTTTCTAATAGGTAAATATCTCCCAAATACCGTTTCAAACTTTCAATCCAATTGCTTTTCATAAACAACATAAACAAAAAACAAAACTTTCTCGAAACATAGCATAAATATTTGATAAATAAATTTCATAATGATATATTTCTGAATTTTACCGATAACATTTTATTATATTATAAAAGATGAACATTGAGTTTGTGTCATTGGCCATCTTTAATGAACCACCGCAGCTTCAGACATCCCCGTGACGTTGTCGGTGCCGTTGAGTGGTAATTAAATATCCAACGGCTAATCATCGGAAAGTGACCGGCCACCAAATTAATGCGAAAATAACCCCCCAAAAAAATAACGCCTATTTCCTTCATTCTCCCATGCAAATCATAACTCACATCCATGGAAGCACTTTGGAATCTAGAAGACAAATGGAAGCTTTCCACACAAGAAGCAATCCTCTTCTTCGCATGCACCGTTTTCCTCATTGTGGTAGTTGTCGGTTTTTGTGCCGCCACAGTGTGGCGGCAGAGAGCTACAAAAACCATTCAAGACGGTGGCGGCGTGGTGGACCCGCCGGGACATTGGGTGACAGTGAAGAAGGCTTTGACGGGGTCGGTGCGGTGGAGCAAGGCGAGTAAATGGGGCGGTGATTTGAGTGCTAGCCGGAAAGAGCAGCCCACTCCGTTGCTGGCCAGAGGTGGCGGCGAAAAGGGGTGGCCCAGCCATAATGCGGTGTCTCCGGTGTGGCAGCGGCCGATACTTATGGGTGAGAAGTGTGAGTTGCCGAGGTTTAGTGGGCTTATTCTTTATGATGAAGGAGGGAAGCCGTTAGATCAAGCTCGTGCTCCTAATATCCAGGTATTACTCTATAACATCTTGTACCTTGTGCTTTGATTGTTGTACGTTGCTCTTGAGTCTTGACTTTTAACTTAAATTGAATCTATTGCAGGAACAGCCTACGGTTAGAGCTACTTTACGAGATCTTTTGTAGTTCTTTTCTCTTTTTTCGTTCCTTGTATCAAAAAAATATAGTAAATCAGTCACTTTTTTGTTCAAACCATTTTTTGTGTACATTTAGGCTCCGTTTGTCACAAAATACCTTGTACTCCTATACCAACGTGGACATACACTGTATTTGAGACTATGACAAAACACCTTGTATTGTTATATTGACATTGACATGCACTCTATTTGAGACCATGATTGATGCCAATGTGATATAAAAGTTGAATTTTTTGTTTCACCTAAAAAGATGAAACAAGATGAGACGCGTTCTTGATCTCTTATTTGTACAAAAGACATAAATGCCCTCCACATTCTCATCATTAAAAATTACCCTAGAAAGCTTATCCAGGTTCGCCCTAATCGAGTCCAGTGTATCAAATGCAACCTTTGGCTGCATTTGTTACACGAGACTGCCTTTGATCGAACATTACAAGTTTTCCAGTTTATTTCCAATGACGAAAATAAGGAGGACATTCACGTCTTTTGCACAGACGTGAGAGATCGAGAGTGAGTCTGTGTCATCGTGTTCCATCTCTTTAGTGGAACAAAGATTTACAACTTTTATCCCATTAACAATCACAATCCCATTCTAATGCATATAACATAACTACAATACAACTTATCTGTCATTTTCATTAGAATTTATAAATACGGTCTCACGCATTAAATTTTAAAGCAAACAAGTCAAACGACCAAGGGTAAACTTGTCATCTCACATGATTCAAAACAATCAAATTTATTGAAGATCAAGAATTTAATATACATGAGTAGGACAAACCTCTCAACAACAAAATGCAAATGAATATTAAGCACAAATGAAATTGACTTACAATTTTACAATCAAACACACAATCGGACTACAAAAAATCACACAATTCACATCTCTTCAAAATAATAATTGAAGATCAAATCAAGAACTTGCACTTTTGTTCATGCAACCGACTCTATTAAGGGTTCACTTGATTCTTCTTTTGACTTATCATGATAGTAAAAGTACAACGCCAATTGTGCAATTCCCAGAATTGTCCCTATACCATTTGGAACCTAAAATTCAAATAAATACAGATGTTAGTAATTAGTACTTAGCATAATCAAACTACATAATTATCTTGTTTATAGACATTTTGCTTACATAAATGAAAGGATCAAAATTGAATACTCCATACAACAAAAACGAAGTGCTCATCAAGAAAGTGGATAGAGAAAGGTAAAATGGCATGAACTCAACACTCCTTGTCTGAATCACTATATTCTGAAAGAAACTTAATCATATATCACTTATAATTATAAAATTTAATCAATGTAAATAAATAAACAGATATGATTAAAAATTTATAATGTACCATTACTGACAGAGGGGAAGCAAACATTGATATGAGAGTAAAACAGCTCAAAAACCCGATTAATAAATGGCGAAATTCAAGATCTGTTATCAGCATACTTCCAATTGAAATGACTGCAAATAGGGCAAAAACTGCTACAAGTAATGCTGACATCTTGAACTGCAATGATGATGTCACATTCTTTAATGTTTTGGATAAATATATATATAAAAAAAAGATAGGATTATAAAGGGTACTAACCTTTTTGGGTTTTTCAGTATTTGTTATGTAGATGATTATGTAGGATAATTGGAAAACTGCTCCAACAGAATTAACTGTTGTGACAAGTAAATTATCGGATGATATGAAGGGGCAGCCATACCAGGCACAGATTAAGCAGTTTAAGAGGGCGTATATGTATGGGATTCCTGAGAATTGTTCTGTTGATTGGTTTCTGATGATTCTTCTAAATGTAGGTCTGGAAATGGAGAAAGAAGATGAGTGTTTGATTTGTATGTTCTTGAAGTTAATAGAAATTGTTGATTGATACTTACATGGGTGACACAAAGAGCCCAAAAGCAAATATGTTCCCTGCAAAAGTTGTAAGAGAATTTAGAACATTAGAAAAAGGTATTTGGAGTAAAGTGAATTGAATATTAAAATTAACAGTTGATTATATGATAAACAAATGAAAAGCCAAGATGCTTTGCTTTTTAGTTTTTAAGAGATATGTATGGATATGCTTCAACATCTACAACTATGGACACAGCGAGTACTTTTTGTTTTGGTGTTCGAAGGCTCGAACAGAGGTTCTAAGTGTTTGACTTCATGGAGATTAGCGATCCAAATCCAATTTTAACAGGTCTTATCAGCGATGAATGCAATTAGGAGTTCTTTATCCCTAATTCTGTACATATACAACATGGATCGATCCTAAAAACGCCAAACATGGTCCCAGATCCGAACAATACTCTTCCATTTCTTCAAACTCGTTCCGTTCTTATAGTTAGAGGTTTTAAATAGCAAGCCGAATTGAGAACATGAGTCATTGAATGATACAAACATGTCGTGTTCCATGATTACGCAAATATTGCCAATCGATTTGCTACTTCAAGGATTGTTCACGTACTTACGTGATGAAAACAGACAAAATCAGATACCAAATCACATTGCAAACTTATTTCCACATAATTTCGTATATACTTGCTGCAACTGACATGATTACCAGGTTTCACCTACAAACAAACACACATACACACAAACAGAGAAGGAGAGGAATAGAGAAATACGGACCGGCAATTCCAGCAGCCTGCTTGCAAATCTCGAGCGTTTCAGGGGAAACCAAATTAGCCATTGTAGAGACGGATTCAAACTATTCTTTTTCAATTCTTAACTTCTTCTTCGTCTTCCTCGTTAATTTACTTATCTCTGAATCATTCCCTCCGTATGATTCCTTCGATAATCTTCGCTTTTTCGCATCCGAGTTTTATCAACCTGAAGTATCCAACTGGCCCGTGCTTGTGTAGCCCTTGAGAGTTGAGTCAACTCGACTTCCAGCTGTTGTTATACGTAATTACAATACGAGCCTCAAGCTTTTGGTCAACTCCTATTTAGCCCTTGTACTTTAGAGAATTTACACTCTTGCACTCCAAAGATCCCTCCTTCACCTTTAGTAACTATCAACTTGTATAGCCGTTTTTTTGTTTGACATGGATGAAGTATCATTTGTTTTTAAGGGCCTCAGAGACGAGATACCAAATCATTGATGCTATATCATCCCCACCGAATAGGTTTTATCTCGTTTGTGGATCATGCAACGTCGATGATTCATGAGATAATTAACAGTTTCCTGAAAATTGTAAAACAAGAAAGTTCAAAAATATCACCATTAGGGTTCCCAGTGATACACAATGATGCCTAAATTAGAACAATTGTTCGTTGTATTACATTGTGAATGAGTTAATTATAGTCGTGCCTTGAGTTTGTTGCGTGTTTTTTACTTGACTGAACATTATTGATTTTTAATCAAATAATATTGCATTTAGTTATACGTGTTACATTTATGGGATTTGACTACCTTGTTGGGATTTACTACCGATTAGGTTTGCTCGACGTGTTCTCGTTGTCCTTCTGCACTTGCATGTCACCTTTTTGCTATTCGGTCATGGTTTACCCTTCCAATTGCTCTACCTGGGTTTCTTTAGTGGGCCCCCCATTCATCATGATGTATGCTTGCGTCGTTTACTCACACCAATTACCATGCACACTTTTCAACCAGGGACGAACGCAGGAATATATAGTAGGTGTTGCCGAGGTTGAAATAGGTGTTGCCGATGTAGAAAAAATAGGTAAAAGAAATCGAAAAATCGAATTTTTTTCCACTAGGGACATAAAAAGTAGGTGTTGTCGATGCGACACCGGAACAACTACAAGGAACGCCCCTGTTTTCAACAATATGTAGTCGTGTGTAACAAAATACTACATATAGAATACACGTTATCTCTTATGTATTTTGTAATTTGTTCCTAAATTTATTACTAGCTTAATTAGTGAAGTTTTCCTAAACAAAAATCATCCATAAATGTTAAATGTACTTACTTAACTGAAAAATGTCATGTTATCAGTTTGTTATGTAAGACAAGTACTTATGAGGCGAATTTGAGAACTATAAGAGTAAATATAATATTTGTATTTATTTGTCTATATATGTACAACTTCTTATTTAATATTTATCGATTTAATATTAAATATAAAGAATATATCTAATTTATAAATCATTAAATGTCAAATGCTAAATAAGATTATTCAATTTAGAGAATAAATTTCATAATACTTGAACTTTTTATAATTGTGCTATTGATTGTCAAATACTAAATAAGAAGACATTAAGCATTTCGAAGTGTTTGGTACCTTGGCTCGGGGTTGCAATTCATCATTTATCAATTTGGTTGCCAAGGTAAAGTATACACTCTCAGCGTAGTAACTATAGACCTACAAGCCTGATTGGATGTTTGTACAAAATCATAGTCAAGACCCTTGCTTCAAAGCTTAAGAGGGTGATTGGCATTGTGGTTGAAGTATTAAGCTTTGAAGCATCATCATCGAAATTTGCTCATGGGATGAATTATTCGCTTTAAACTTAATTATTATGATTTAATAAATTAAAGATAAAAATAAACATCGAAAATAAATATTAGATAAAGTCGATATCTATGAAGAAAGTTGTAGTGGTTGAAACAAGGATTCCGGAGATATAAAGAATACCGAAATCCGAGTTATAATGAAGAAATTATAACATGTCGATGTTTCGCGACAGAACCAGCACGACGCTATATGACGTAACAAGTGAATTTACGATAAAGTGCTTTTTAGCATTACAATCTAAATGAAAGTCGTAGTATACATTAAACCGAGAGTGTGCATAAAAAGAATGTCAAAATCTGACTTCGTATGAAGAAATTATGAATTTTCTAAGATTTGGTATAGCGGTATGCAACCCGAAACTCGAATTTTAGATCAAGCGATTTTTAGCCGATACAACCTAAACGAGAATCGAAGATCTTGTCGGTTGGAGTTTAACGACAAAAAGACAAACAAAAAAATGGCGTCGGATGAAGAAGTTACGAATTTTTAGTGGACTTCTCCTGTCTCGGCCTGTTAAAAATATAACATTAAAAATAAAGTCAAAATTAGCCGACGAAGTCTAAACGAAAATTATAGAGTATAGTCTCACCTACGCGTGGATATAAAGAACGTCGAAAACGAAGCTCGTATGTAAAAGTTATGAATTTTTGAAGTTTTGGACACAAGCTTCGAAGCTTATCCGAAGGAGAACGTCATGCGTCCGAGGGAACACCCCGCGTTCGCATGCAGTGGACACGTATCTCGCATCTTGACATGTCTGAAGCCACACACCCACCGGAACGCACTGCATTGCTCCGAGGAACGGATTGCGTAGACCATACCAACCTCCCTTATAAATAAGATCTGAAGCCAGACGAATTATGTTACAAAAATTCTTCCTTCATTCACCTTATACTCCCTTTTAGCCTATCCTAACCCCCGAAGCCTAGGGTGCCATCCTAGCATCGTAATCAAGCCCCGGAGAGCCCGAAGATCTCGAGAAAAGAGTTTTTCGAGTCGAAACTCTTCCCGCGTGAAGCCCGGTTTTTTAGAAAACATCCTAGTTTCATCGAAGAATATTGTTTTAAGGGACAAAGTGTTGTCCAATCGTCATCTTATCATGTGAGTGTATAGTCATTTTCATCTTACACATAGATATGAAGTATTTTATATAAAATACATGTTATGTTAATATATATTGTTTATTTATTTGAGATGGATGTTGAATGAATGATTTATACATGTTTTAAATGATTTAAACCATATATGTATTTTATATCTACCTATAATTATGATGGGTCTAAGATGGGTAGATTAAAGATGAGTTAAATGATGAGTGATGAAAGATTATCGATGATATATGAGTGGTAAAATATGGTGAGAAGCGATGTACCAAGCGATGTCCCCGTCATCTAGTAGAGTATGGATGACAACCATGAACTATTCTAGATAGTTCGTGGAACACTAGCAGGCTCGCAACCTGTAAGTGTGTGAACAATATGTTCATCAGATGTACTCTAAAAACTCATTGACAAGTATTACGAGTGGACTCTCGAAAATAATAATGTCAATAAATGAGCTATGGACTTAGCACATGTTATATAAACCCTGACAGCTATGGACTTAATGCTTGTTGTATAAACCCTGGCGACAATGTGACTTTGTGTCTATTCCTTAGGAAGAATCCTTAGGAATGAGTGATAGATTATTCTTAGGGTAAATCCTTAAGAGATAAAGAAGATAATGGGGATGGGTAATTGGGTTAATTGTTTGATGATAAAACACAATAACTTTATTATTGTGGGTTGAAAACCCTATATACTCACCAGGTTTCCCAACCTGACCCACTCAAGTTATTTGTATCACAAGTGTCGATATACAGCCACACTACACCGAGAGATTTAAAGAGATGTAGATCACTAATGTAAATGAATGTAAGTTTTGTTTATGCTTATGTTTCTATATTGATGATGACATCCCACAGTTTTAATATGAACAAAATACATTTCTTCAAAAATGCTTTGATAATAAATTTATCATGTTTTTCTGGGGACAAATTCCACAATATATTTCTTTAAATATATACTATGATTTTCATATAAAGCATATACAAATCTGCTTCCACGGATAAATCAGGGCAATGCTCCCGCATCTTCGCCTTGGGCTCCCACATCCATTCAGAACCCCTTTGATGCTGCCACTGAACCTTGACAAAGACATTTCTTTGTTGCACAAGGCCTTCGTCTTCCTATCCAAGATCGCCACTGGTCTCTCCACATAATGCATGCGATCATTAACCTGAATATCATCCAAAGGGATAACCGTAGAATCATCGACCACACACTTTTGAAGCTAAGAAACATGGAAATTGTTGTGGATTTGACTGAGCTCGTCAGGCAAATCCAGTCGGTATGCTACCTTTCCCACCCGGGCAGAAATCCTGAAAGGACTTATAAATCTAGGGCCCAACTTGTCCTGCTTCCAAAATCGGATGAGACCTTTCCAAGGTGACACCTTCAAAAGCACCAAGTCCCCCACCTGATTTTCGAGGTCTAAACATCGACGATCTGTATAACTCTTCTGTCGGATCTATGTGAATTGCAACCTATCATGCACCTTCTGAATCAACTCAGTGGTCTTGAGTACCACTTCAATACTCCCTATAACCCGATGCCTGACCTCCCCCCAACAAACACCTCCTCCCATATAACATCTTAAAAGGTGGTCGATCAATGTTGGCATGATAATTATTGCTGTAGGAAAACTCGGATACTGGAAGGTAAGTATTCCAACTCCCTCTAAAATCTAATACATATGCCCGGAGCATATCTTTGAGCTTCTGAATCGTCCACTCACTCTGACCATCAGTCTGGGGGTGGTATTTTGTACTAAAGTGCAACTAAGTACCCAACTCCTCATGATACTTCCTCCAAACGCTAGAGGTGAAACGAACATCCCAGTCCGAAACCACCAAAACTGGCACCCCGTACCGAACCACCACCTCCCGTTTGTAGATTTCATCTAACTTCTTAGCATATATACTTTCGGAAATCTGGATGAAATGTTAAATCTTGGTCAATCTATTAATAATAACCCAAATAGAATCAACTCCATGTGCCATCTTTGACAGCTTTGTGATGAAATCCATGGTAATCTCTTCCCATTTTACACATGGGAATGGGTAATGGATGCATCTTGTCGTGGGGTCTATGATGTTCGGCCTTGAATATCCTACAATTCAGACACTGCTCTACAAACCATGTTATCTCCCTTTTCATACAGGGCCACCAATAACTCAACCTCAGATCCCAATGCATCTTTGTGCCCCCTGAATGAATAGAAAACTTTGACTTATCAACCTCTTTAGAACTATTTGGCTCACCCCACCAATACTCGAAACCCAAACTCTACCACACTGAGTCAACAAGCTCCGACTGTCTCTGACAAATAAGGGAATCTGCCCCCTTTACATCCTGGCACACAAGGACACATACTACATTATATAGTATGGTGAGAAAAT